GTAACAATCCGAAGCCGAACCCATCGTAATGAGTGACACGTATCACGTAACAACAACCCACTAAGGACCGATCCGTTAGTGACCGTTAATGGCAAATCGCGAAAAGAAACCTTTGTTTTTCTTTTTATGTCAGTCACCAATATAAGTAGAAGCAGTGTCATATGGGCGAAATCTGTTAGCTGTTAGCTTTGTCGTTAATCGACAGTGACACGACTGAATTTCACATAACTTATATAAAAGGACGAAGGACTGCATTTTGCCTTTATGAATTGTTCCACAGTTAATGTACTAATTTCTGAAGTTTATTAATTAAAACAAAATTGATGAGTGTATTTAAATAAGTGAAATATTTGGGACGTCGTACTGCCAACTTAATACAACCTGCACTAATACAACTTCTATATCAAAATTCCCTAGTTACAAAAAGTTACTATAACATCATTTTGATAAAAATTTCTTCTCAATAGAAAAAATAGTATAAGAAACTTGTTTCATAAGACGCCCCATCGCACTCGTTCATTAGAAAACTCGCCGCGAGCGGCTCGTTTTCTAAACTTGAACTCGTGCGTTAAACGCGCCACTTATGAAACTTGTTTCTTAATATACTATTCTGGACGTGTAATGAACGATATTTTTTATTATACTTCTTTTAAATCGATAACATAAAAAACAACAAACTCGCTAACATTTTTATTTTGAAACAGTTATAGAAAATACGTTTTCATGGTTACTGTCAAATCATTTCAAAGGCGATTTGTTTAATTAGTTTATTTCAGATAAAGTTGACGAAACGTCAAAAAATGTCACAAATTCTCAAAGAAGTTTATCTAAATATTCAAACATCTACGAATTAAAACGCAAAATACTTACATATGAAACATTACAACGCATATAGATTTTCTGAAAATTAGTTTACTTCCCTGTAAATTTGTATTTTAAAGCAATATTTTGGGTATTTATATTCAGCGCACGGAAAGAATGAAAGGGACCGGGAATAGTATATATTCTATAACGAGTAAGGAATAGAGTGTATTCCGCGCGAGTGGAAAGTTCGTCACACGAGCCGAAGGCGAGTGTGACGGTTCCACGAGCGTTGAATACCTATTCCTTACAAGTAATAGACATAATTTTTTCTACTACTACGACGAATTTTTGCAAAATATGTATAAAACAAGCAGGGTTAACGATAGACAATTCACACATTAGTAGGTACGTCTATGTACGGTGGGTTGGTATAGCAGATCCCTGTGGCATATTTGACAGATTCTAAATGGCTGTATAAACAATTTCCTCGACAATTTCTCTTCGCTCAATATTATCCCAGAAAAGGGATACTAACTTTTCTGTGATATTAATTACAAATGTGCACATTTGTTGAATGTGTCCTGTCCTGCGCAGTGTATGAATCGGCGTGGATCATTTAGATTTAGATAAACGTAAACGATAAACGTATTCGATGTGTGCGACCGGTATGTAATTCATGATGTGCATTCAAATACAAAATGCTACAAAGAGGACGTTATGGATGCAAATCAGAAATAAACTCCAAAATTTGTATGTAAGTATATCTACGAGTGTAGGTAACATTTTAGTGAGCATTATATTTTAGGTTAGTTTTAAAACTTCCTGGAGGAAATGTGTTCTCGATGACCAACAACGTTAACTGTTTGGATCTGGATGTTCTTTTTGTATAGTGCAGTGAGGTATATTAATTCATTGTAGCAATATGCAACTTGATGTTTGGTTGTAGGTATACCAACGTGGTCCCCCGTAATTGTAAACTTTCGTTGTACGTTAGTTTTCGTATTGGGTATTCTAATTACAGTTCTACAGTTCCACCTAAGTCTTGTATGTGGTCGATTTTTATGTTCCACGAACACGATTCGTACTTACGACAAGCACCACTAATGCCAACTATAAGAGCAACCTTTAAATGTAAAATAGATATGATGTAACGAGTAACGATTTGAATGTGTAATGTTATAGTAGATATAAACTGTCGAGGGGGCTTTTTGAATAAACATTTTTACTTTGCTCGTTGATAGAATTTTTGAGCCGCTGGATTGCATTTTTAAGGCCTGCAACTTAGCATGCATAGCTGCTTATATCTACATAAATTGTTCAAAAGTATCGTAGACCGCACCATGGAATACGTTTTCCACAATGTGAATGCTTTAATTTCCTGTGATAGTTCGCTAAAGTAAATTAAGTAGCACTACGTTCTCTGAAAATGAGTTGGTTTTTTTCTTGATCCTCCACTCCAAAAATTTGCTGTATGTATGTTCCTACACTTTTGGTTTGTCAGGAAGTAAATTTTTTTGCGTGTTCTGCTTCTGCGGTGATTTCCGGGGGAGTATTTGAAAGTTCCATTAAATCCTCACTGGCCACTGCTATTCATTTTCGTGCTACCGGCCCTTAAAATTCAAAATCTGCCGCAAGCGTAATTAAAATTTTGACAGTTTAAGAATTGTGCTTTAGGATGTCCTGTATTAGATGTCGCCACATGTGCTCATTCCATCACAAGAGCTAGAATGAAATTATTCCACTTTACTAGCAGAGAATAGGCGATATTCTGTTGTTCAAAATGAAGCAAGTATGACGTCATTCTAAGGTAGTAGTAGAAAAAA